TATTGCACTTTTGTTCATATAGCAGTACGACTAACGACTTCTGCGATTAATCGCGATTAAAAATTTTGATCATTGCCTAGCACTAATTATTAGAAATAATAATACAGTAACAATATTACCTTTCCAAGTAATTAGTAGTGTAACCAAAAAAAAAAAAGATTAGTTACAATATTACTTTTGTTGTCACCCTCTACTGATTTAAAATCCAACAATCCAATCACATCCTTGGATTCATTTTTGTAATCGTGGAGGAAACTAGTTTGAAAGATGGAAACACAAACGCTGCTGGAAATAGTCCATTACTTTGATTTTAACAAACTAAACTGAATTTTAATCGTCGTTAGTCTGAATTTTGGGGTGAAAGGATACGATTACCGATTTTGTGTGAGTCTTGAGTAGCAGAAACGTAATGTAACTAGTAGTGTAAGGGACTACTGTTGGCAGGGAGTAATAAGTAAAGTAATTATATTTATTTTTTTCAAAGAGTAATGAGATATATATTTAATTTTTTTGAGTAACTAGCCCAACACTGATGACTAATTGTGAACATAGCAGAGCATTTAGCTACCAAAGAGCCAGATATTGTCCTCAGACGTAGAGACCAAAACAGTGGTAAAAGGAGATTGAACACTGGCCATGCATGCACATTAGATTGCCAGAAACATGACTCTAAATGTTAATGTTGCTCTGTGTCTGATGGATGTGTAATAGGCAACTGTTTGCTAACACTATATAAAGTGATAATATGTCACATTTGTGTTTTTACGCTACCAAAAAATCTATTAATGCATTTGTTTTTAGATCCTATTGGTCTCCCTTAAAACACAGTAAGGTTTCTTATTGTTCAGTTCAAACTTAACATCTTTAATTGCTGCTCTATAGAGATATTGGTTCGCTATACTGTATCGCTAAATTTGTAATTGCTTAAAACACACTGTTGCTTATAATTTCATCTTGTATTAATTTGTTATCAAAAGTTTCTCTTCTTTTAAGTCTTTATAACTCCTTTTTTGCACAATAATGACTAGCTTTTACTTTTGGCTTTTTCTGTGTCACACTATGAACTGAAGCTTGCAACCTTCCAATAATATTTATCTTAACTCCTGGGTAAATCTAAGACTGTGCCAACCCTTTCGCTGTTCTTGAATAAATAATGTGATGATGGTATGGTCAACAGAATTAAGGTTCAGTCTACCCAAAAAATATCTATTGTCTCACTTACACACTGCTTCTGCCTTTTTGGAAGGAAACAGCTGAAGAGAGACAGGAAAGGGAGGCGAGAGAAGGGACTAAATGAAAAGCCTGGGCCAGAACTGCACTCAGCCTTAGTACATGGTGCGCACGTTCTACTAGGTGAGCTACTGAGGCCCCTCTCTCTGACATTTCTGCAACCCCAATAAATTTGAAGTGTTTGGAATTTTGTTTGTCATTCAGAGCGCTGAAAATCTCATCAATATATCAAATTAATTAAATTTAAGAAATCAACAGCGACATCTCTTTCAAGTAGCAGTTTCCTAGCTACTCTGAATAATATACAGACCACACTATGAACATTTTCTGACTTGTATAGAAGTAGTCCATATGATAACTTTTGACAGCATGTTCTGTGGATTATCCTGTCAAACAGAAATACTGTGTGGAAAGAGATTTTTTTTAATGTGATTTTTCAGTGCTGTATAAACCCAAAAACAGAACCATATACAGAATACGTCTGCATTTCTAGATACAACTAGCGATAAGTAAGAAAAGATATTTTTGTAATTTGGGTGAATCAACAATTTGATCTAGGACAATGCATCAATTGAGTTGATGCTTGAATGATATGGTATTTCTACATTCTTCCTTGTACCTTGTCTCCTTCGCAGAGAGCAGAAACAGACGAGAGCAATGAGGAGCAATGGAACCACTACAGCCACGGAGATTATCAGGGGAAGCGGTGGATGATTGCTGGGAGAGTTTTGATTGTTTTCTGAGAAAAAATAAAATGCAGATTTTACAATGATAATAACAGGATTAAATTTTTTTTCAACATAAAATGTGATTTGTGTGAGACTTAGAAAAGATTTCAAGAAGCACTTTTTTAAAATCTTGCATTCATACATTACAAACTTTGACTGAACAGACTAGAGCCAATTCTGAATACACATCATTATTAGACATCATATCATATTATACATCAACATCTTGGTTTGCCTTCAAACATTTTATGCATTACTGTTAAGCTACTGGTGGTGTGTCACCTACCTTCTGCTGGGTGCGTTGTGTTCTCTCTGGCCGTAACTGTGATGACAGTACCATTTCCTTCAGACTCAGCAAAAAATGGAATCATCCACAAGACCTTTGCAGGTATACTCATCCTGAAAGCTTCTTTGAGCATCTTCGTAAAGGTCAGTTTAAGCCAGTCAGCATGTGTCGCGTTTAACGCAAAGAATCTCGTTGCGAGTGAACATTCTTTATGATGAAAACTCTTTTACACTTGTTTGATTTTCAGACCAGGAAACTCCATAAACCCCCTCTCCTTTCAGCCTCCCCTGTCAACAGTATCCGCAGCAGCTGAACGTTTACTGCATCTCCCTCCATTGCAGAGACAGCAGGAGTCTGGGTCACAACAAGTGTGCCTGATGAAACACCTGTGAAGAAACAGAGACACATGATTTGGTAGTTTATCACAAAACTGTACATATTGCATCACTTAAGAAGCGAGTAGTAGAGTTTTTGGCACTTGAACTTCAACAACATCAGAGGACATGCGTTATATAGAATCAGATCAACCTAACAAAGTGGTAGTGCCGCACCAACAATAAAGAAATATTTTTTTCAATTTCCATTTCTCCTCACACATTTTTATTAGCTCAAAAGATTTAAACTGTTGAAAAATGTTTGTTCAAATCATCAGATATTTCAAATGCTAATGTTAGCATATACTCAGCTATGAAACAGATAAAGGTTGAGTGTTTGTACTTACTCCAGGATGAGAGTGCACACAGAGAGGCGAGTAACAGACTGCTGAGCAGAAGCTTCATCTTTCCACACTGACACGACACTGACTACTGACACTCATCTCTTTACAGCTGCTCTAAGTCCTTCCCACCACACACACACACACACACACACAGCATACAGGGCACCATCTTTTCTTCAGTGTTCCTCTGTATTTTCAGCAGAGAAGTGTGAACAACCACAGCTTCTGCTCCTTCCTCCCTCAGATAAAGGGCCCCTATAGTTCCTACACAATAGAAGATGTACGTGAGATTCATTTTCTGTTCTCACGGAGAACACAGACATAGTGAAAATATATACTAGACCATATTTGGTCCAACATTTTAAAAACCTGACCCCAGTCTCTATTTACCTGATATATTTTAGCTTCTGTTAGTTAATTACCAAAGCCTCCAACTTGTAGCTGTAACTTGTTGTAATAAACTATTTTTATAGTTTTACTTTGGTTAAAGGTGCTGTATGTCTCACATTATTCTGATGTATAAGTTTGTTGTTTGCATGTGTTGCTGCCTGTGAGAGTGTCATTTTTAGCACTACCACTAGGAGTCCCCAAAGTGTGAAGTTTGGGCTGTACCTTACCTCACAGACCCTTCAGTGGGTCCCTCTTTAGAAAAGACACAAAGTCTTAATATATATACAAATAGTAAAAGTTGCTTTGACAAACATTGGAAATCGAATGAGTCTGAGATGAATTACCTAATTATGATAAACCGATAAAAACCTGCCGGCTATAGTTATTTACAGTAGGTGCAGTTTTGGAAGTAACTACAAGTACATTTACTCAAATACTGTACTTCAGTACATTTTACTTCAACTTCCTGTTTTCACCATATGTACGGTATGTCATGGCAATGGCTGCACCTCTGCATTTTCTCTTTCCCTCCAGCGCTCCCCTGTCTCTGTCTTTGTGGATGTTTGTAGGTGTATTTGTGTCTCAGAATCCCGGTCGCATGTCTGTGACCAGCTCTCCTTCGCTCTACTGTCAGCTACACTGTCTTACCATCCTCCATTCCTCCATCCCTCTGCCACAACCAGCCATCCTATCTACTCAACCCATCTCCCACAACCATAATTATTCAGTAAATCTGTTCAACTTTATCTGCTGCATTATGTGTGTTCTATGCCTGGGTCCACAGTTTGAATAAGTAATATGATGTCTAGTCAGGGCCCAACTAGATACTCCCAAGTCCCACCAAGAGGTTCCAGACTAGTTTGCAAATGTAAAATTAGTCTGGAATCTAATTTTGTATTTCTAGCTTTATCAGTGGTTGTACGCCAAAATGCCTTTGGACGTGATTGGATAGACCTACAGCCAATTAGAGCAATGAAATGTGTGACGTAGCGTAGTTGGTAAATGACCAAACCCTGTCACAAATACAGCAAACACATTTTTGTTTTACAACAAAAGCCAAAAGTGCCATTGTTTATTCTTCTTTTAGAGAAAATATACTTTTCAGTTTTTTAAATACTGACGTAACAGTGGATTTAACAGAAAAACTTCTACATCGTCATCAGATCCTCATCAGCCACATTAGGTTGTTTACAAACATGCCTCAACTGCCAGTAAAGTCTTCATAGCAAACCCATATTGGACTGGTCCAACCAGATCGAGGATGGGTGGAAATCTGTCTGGAGGGTATGCCTCTATCAAAGCTCACAGATTCATCTGGTTCCCAGGCTACCAAATCGACATTTCTCCTCTGAACTTATCACATGCTTTCATTAAAATAACAGCTTAATGCCAAATAGAGATAAAATTATCCAATAATTCTCAAAAGATTAGAGTAAAAGGTCCACCCTTGCTCATTTGGTTTGTACAGTAGGATGAAGATAATTGTTGCATTGTAAACAAAATGGATTTTAAAGCTGCAGTAGGTAACTTTTATTATAAAAAAAATGTGATATTTTCTGCAACTTTCACTATGTCCTGATAGTAGTACATGAGACAAATAATCTGGGAAAAAATCTGGTTCCTCTGATAGTAAATAGTTAAAAGTTATTTTTATAAAGGTTACCTACTGCAGCTTTAATGCCTTCTTTTTAAGCACACAGCTTTAATATAAGGAAACATCAGGCAGACTACTTGGCTCAAACGTCAAAATAAAAGCGAAACCAATTCACAGTGCAGAGTTATTCAATGTTGGCAACATGCAAGGTGATACATGTTGATTTTGGTATGTTGGTGAGTGCGACACTTTATTATGTAGGATATGTAATCACTAATATCACCAGCTGTATGATTTCCTTTGACGACTGACTACTAACACTCATCATCTACAGCCAAGTCTCTCACACCCACCACACCCACCACTCACAACACAGCAGGCTACATAGGAGGCACCATCTTTATTTTCATGTATCACGGAAGTTTTTGCAGAGGTGTGCCAAACCACAAGTTCTGTTCGTTCCCTTCAGATGTCACACATTTTGCACGAGCTTTGAACAGGAGAGACGTCACTGATGTCAGAAAGCAAAGAGTTACAGTCAGACCAGTCAGACCAGTCAGACGGTGATGAGGGCGTTGATAATAGACAGCAGGTTTGTGTAAATGTATCCTCATTGAGACAAAGTAATCATCAAACATTCCATGTTTTTTTTATTTTTACACTTCTACTATTTATCTCTCATCTCTGTCCTCTTCTTCTTGGTCTTCTTCTATTCTTTGTGCTGAAGGGAGTTTATTTCCAGGAGCAGCTGAAACATGAATGCACTGATGGATTAGTCATAATGTACTGGAATATATATGCTGCTAATGGGTGATAGACACCATATCATCACAGTGGAGTTAAGTGAAAGTTATATTGTACCTGGTGTGTGCTGCTGAGCTCTGTTCCCTAACTTGTTGAGGCAGACGAAGCATGTGACAAGGGCCAGGATGGGCAGGCACCTCAGAGCATAAATTAAGATGTCCTCCCAATTAGTATTTGAATCAGAATCTGAAATTCACCAACAGAGGACACTGCTTAAATTACTAAAGGGAACTTCAGAGAAATGCCTTCACAATATTTGTTATTATGGTCTCTCTGTCAACC